TGACTTAAAGATCCTGGACTTGGAGCTAGATGTAGTATGCTAGTGGGTATGATCTCATTTCTGGTTGAGGTAATAATTAAATTTACCTGAATTGTGTGTAAATACTGTACTTTCTGATATAAGAACAACAGATAATATGATCTGTAAATAATAGGATATTTTACTTCCAAAATAGTCAAGAGCCTGCTAAGCATAAAACTTATTAAATGCTAAAAAGATTTTGAATATGCAACTACTAGTGAGTTTCAAAAAACGTATTTAATTAGATCCTGTATGTATTATTTTTTCTTCAAAGGGGAAATGAATTAGTCGCACCATTTGGCCGTTATTATTTCATTAAAGATTTAATATAGATTTATAGGAAATAAAATACAGAATCTGTTATAAATATCCCAACTTATTCTACAGCATTAATCTCAAGTAATATTGATCATTACATAATCACAGCATTTACCAATCTGTGATTGTATAAATTAACCTGATTTATTAAATTAAAAAGAAATTTTACTGTTACAAGTCACCAAAAAAAAAAAAAATTAGAAATATATTTTATGCTAAAGTTACTTTCTGTCCAGGTCGAAACATTGTTCCACTTTGATTTTTTCTCTTCTTAGGATTTTGAAAGTTTTCATACCTTAAAAAAAAAAAAGAGATAATTAATATCTAATACATGTAAATAATTACAAAACAAAATATAATGGATAGTTTGCAAACAGAATTATATTTTGAAAAACAAATTAAAAGGGAAATAGCAAACTGGAAAAATATTTGCCAACAGAAATTAAAGAGAGTTCTTACATACAAATTTTCAAATGTTGAAAAAAACTCCAATAGAAAAAAGAGAAAAGGGAATGAACACCAAGTTAGAAAAGATAAAATACAAATGGCAATGAAAAATAATAATAAAAAAATTGTAACCTCAACAGTTTTAATCAAAGAAATGCACGGTTTTAAATTAGATATAACAGTTCTCCAATCAAATTGGCTCAGTTTAGAAAAATACTGTAAATACTCAATGTTCGTGAGGGTGTGGTGAAACTAGCACTCTTGCATTCTACTGTTGGAAGAGACATTGTACAATATTTCTGGAAGGCAATTTGGCAATATGTTTCAAAAGTCTTAAAAAACATGTGTACCCTGTGATGCAACAATTCCACCTTTATCCCAGTGAAATAACTAAGCACGTGTGCAAACATTCAGCTACAAGAATGTTCATTATCACACTGTTTATAGTAATGAAAACCTGAAAGCAACGTAAATGTCCAAAAGTTGGAGACTGTGGCACAGACGTAGTGTAGAACAACATTAAAAACAATAAAGTAGTACCATATTTAAAATGTGAAAGAATGTTTACAATGTATGGATGGGTGAAAAGGGACTGCTATATACCAATATGTATAGTGTGTTCTTATTTTACTAAGAAAAAATATATAAGTATATGAACAAATATGCTTAGTGAGGCCAGGGGATTAAGGGAAATTTCTATTTTCTTCTTTTTCCTTATCTTTATTTTCTAATTTTTCTGCATTAAATATGTATCACTTATATATGTGCACACACAGCCCAAAATTTTGCAAATATTGCAAAATTAAACAAGCATTTAACTTTAAAAGAGCAGGAATAAATAATTCTTGAATCAAATTAAGCTGACTCCCCACACATCTATGGTCAACTGATTTCTGACAAGGGTGCTAAGTTCATTTGATGGGGAAAGAAGAGTCTCTTCAGTGAATGGTAATGGGAAAACTGGATTTCCACATGCAAAAAAATGAAACAGGATCCATGCTTTATGCCTTACAAAAACAAATTCAAAATGGATTAAGGACCTAAATGTGCAAACTAAAACCATAAAATTCTTAGAAGAACAAGCAGGACCAACATTGTCAGGCCTAGCTTTCAAAAATGGATTATCTAATATAATAATGAAAGCACAAACAGCGAGAGACAAAATAAATAAATGGGACCTCATAAAAATTAAAATCTTTCGTTCATCAAGACTTTACCAAAATAGTGAAAAGACAAGCTACCAACTGTCAGAATATCTTTGGAAACCATATACCCGACAAAAATCTAATACCCAAATATATACAAAACTTCAACAACATCAAAAGGACAAATATCCAACCATAAAATGGGCAAAGGACTTGAACAGACGTTTCACCAAAGAGGACATACAAATGGCCACCAAACACATGAAAAAATGATCAGTGTCATTAGCCATCAGAGAGATGCAAATCAAAATCACAATGAGATACCATTTCACTCCCACTAGGATGACTAAGATTTAAAAAAAAAACAGAAAATAACAAATGTTGGTGTGGATGTGGCAAAACTGGAACCCTTATCCGTTGCTGGTGGGAATACATAATGGTACAGCCATTGTAGAAACAGTGTGGCAGTTCCTCAAAAAACTAAAAATAGAACTACCACAAGACCCAGCAATTCCACTCCTATGTATATACCCAAAAGACTTGAAAGCAAAGACTCAGAGACTTGTACACCAATGTTCATTGCAGCATTATTCACAACAGCCAAAAGGTAGAGACAACATAATGCCCATCAACAGAGGAATGGACAAACAAGATGTGGTACATACATACAGTGGAATACTACTCAGCCAGTAGGAGAAACGAAGTCAAAACAGGAACATATTTATAATGATTTTTGCAAACTATCAATTGGAATCATTTTGAGCTTTTAATTTCTCTCTTTTTCTAATTTCTTCAAAGTAATTAATATTAAATTAGTTAATTCTAAATAATTCAAATATAATCAAATGAATTGGTTAATGAAAATTCATTTTTTTATTTTTGTACTCCTGAAGCTCTTAGGTGTTTAAATAAACAGCCACTACATAAATTTTCTGAATTGGCTTTTAAATATTTAAAGTACTACGTGTGATTTTTAGCAAGAACTTTAAAAGTTTAAGTGAATAACCATGGGACTTATAATAATATCCATACTTCCAAATCAGGATCTGTTACTTACAGCTCAGCAAAATTCTTCCAGTCATCTTCACTAATGGATGGCCTTGTGTTACCGAGTGCAGTCATTAAATGAGACTGACTAATAGCCAGACTGGTTTTGATTGGTCCTGGTTGGTTAAGGGATTCATCCACCTTAAATAAAAAAGAAAATGACAAAAAAGTTAACTTAGGGACCCAATGGAAAAAAGAAATCAGTCTGAGGAGTTATTTCTTTTTCTCAGTGTTTTCAGAAGACTATACATTCTCTTTCTGATAACTAGAAACTGTTTGAAAGCAAGAAAGCACATAACAATTGGACTGAGTCAATAGTTACAAATGTAGCCTATTTACAAATCAGAGCAATATATATAAAACAAGAAATAAATAATTTTTAATTTTTAAAAAGTTTTAACTATTATAAATGGAAAAAAGTGCCATACTCCACTTTGGCTCCGGTATCTGTCCTTGATAATGTTGATGTCTGCTCTCAGTTGGTCCCTTTGTTCTTGTGTAAGTTCGTGGTAACCCTCTTGTGAAGCTGTCCTGAACACTGGAGGTTGTGAAAACAATGCATCTTTCCCAGAAACTCGAGGAAAATCCTGAGTCATGGAGCTTGGTGCAGACAAACACTGTGAGCTCTGCATGGGTAAATATAATAATGAAAGAAGGGAGGAAAGGAGGAGAGAAGGAAGATGGGAAAGAGAGAAAAAAAAAGAATGTATTTACTAAAGATAAAACTAAAAATTTCAAACAATAAAGCATTAACATAGACAAACTTACATTTTAACTAAATGATATTAAGGCAGTTTAATATTCTATAAAAGTTCATTGATATCTGTGTTACAGAACTACCATAGAATGAGGATGGCCATAACATGAGTTTTTAATTTTTATACTTTGTTATTAAATCTACCACACTAATGCCCCAGGGATGGGTTCCAAATGATCCTTACTCTTATTTTTCAGCAAATAGAGTTGCACTAAGGTCCTGGGACATTTTAGATAGAAGTTAAGAAATAGAAAACAGAATTAAAAACTGGAATTATAATAACAGTTTACTTATTATTCTTGGAAATAAAAATTGGTCACTTTTATATTTTTAAAAATCTGAATTAATAAAAAAATTACAAAAAATAAGAAAAAAATATGTAAAAATGTTATGAGTACCAATAAAGCAACAGTTAATTGCAGTTAATTTTTTTGGGAGATGTGTTGAAAGTTATTTTAATTAAATAGAAAAAGAATAATACTGCCCACATTTAATCAAAACCTTTTCTTTCTTGAAGCGTTATTACTAGTGATAACTTTTTTCAGTGTGCTTATACTTTCTGTGAAAAGTATTACAAATAGGTAACATTTTGTTGTCAGGAATTTCTGACATTATTGTACCAAATTTCTCATTATCCTCAACTGTCCTATGACAACAGAATTTCAGTTCAATATAATGTGGATCTGCTACTGAGGGTGTTTTATAACCACTAGCGGAGAGAGACCTCAAAGAAACTGAAGAGTAATCCTGGCCTCTCCCTACTTTGGTTCTCCCTTGTGCTGGCCCTGCCTTAAAGTTCTGAATAGGGGATGAAATTTACTAGTTAGTGTAGAAAAACAGGACTATTTTACTGAAGAACCAACCAACCAGAAAGCACACGTAGGGCTGTTTAGAAGATAAATCACTGTCCGTCTTTACACCAACATACACTCTGTATTTCAGAAGTGAATAATGATGACTGCACAAGATACCAAATCAGAAGAGGTTCCATTTCCAAGTTCCGATTCATAAGAGCTTCCAAAGTAGAGCCGGTACATATGGAATTTTGATTCATCTGGAAGTACGTCAGACATCTCTAGAGAAACAAGGGACTGCTCTAAACCACATTCTCCATCTCCAGCTGAATCGTCAGAGCCGCTGCTGTGGTTAAGAAAAACCATTGAAGACAGGCTGAGGTCACTGTCAGAGCTGGAACTTCCATCCTAGAACGTACAAAAGGGTGACCGGTTGTAAAGCTCTAAATAATCCACAACTCAGAAATAAATCACAAAACAGACAGCACTCTAATAAAGCAATACAAAGAAACTTGAGGCATTGTTCAAAACTCTTACTAATTCTCTAGTGGTTCTGAAACACATAGTAAGATTTTAACTATTAAAATAAAAAAAAGAATATTTAAATAATTTAATCATCCCTCAAAAAAGTCTGTAACAAATTTATGACTCAGACCTCTGGATTTTACTTTTATGTGCTCTTTTACTGCTCTTATTTTTCTACTCTGAAATGATGAATCAACCATGTTAATAACATTTATCTTGAAAGAGGGCTTTGCAAATACATACCTTTCCTGGTAATGAAGGTGAAAAAAAGAGAACCTCAATGGCTTGCCAGAATAAACAACAAAAACTTGGTAGTGTTTGATTTAGGAACTTTAGACTGTGTAAGAATCTTCAGAAAAATGGGGAGAGTATGCAGAAAAACCCTTCCTAGAAAATAATGTGGTAAAGTCCATAATGCAGTAGAATGATCTACTGCAATAATTAAAATCAAAATACTATACTAGAGAAAAGATAGATCCTACAAGATAAACCTATAGCATCTGTTGTTGTGCCAGGAAATGGTACCTCAAGGAATGATTGGGACATATCATAAGGACACAGAAGCCACCTAGAAGGGGCTTCTATTGGCCAAATGTAGGACAATTTGAGCATCAAAGTAAATTACACGCAATTAATTATTTTTAAAAAAGCAAAGAACAAACTAAAAATCTCAATTGTTTTTCTGTTTATATTATCTAATACATACTATCCCAATTTAAATAATGTTCTCCCACACACCAATGTAGTTTTGCCAATATTAAGGTAAAGTTAAAGAAATAGACACCAAACTCTTCATAATTACAAAGTTCTCTGCAAAACCAATACTGCAACTATGGAACATTCAACTAAAGGTGAATTTAAATTTTCATACCTTTTTAACAAAGCTGTTAAAAAACAGAATTCTTAAGGTTGAAATTTTGACATTAAATTGCTGTTATCAATCATAAAAGGCCATAGAAACTACCTTCTCATATAACTCACTTGGTGTCCACACGAGAGCAGTCTTCCACGTAAGGCCTCTAACTGGGCATTGTAGAGTAAAGCTTTCAGATCTGCTCCAGTAAAGGAGTCAGTTACTGATGCCACATGATGAAGGTCAACATCATCTGCCAGAGGCAGAGAGTCACTGAGAACATTTAAAATTTCAAGACGTGACACCTGAAGGAAGAAAAACTAACTGATTTGACAAAAAATAAAATGAAATATCTTAAACTGTGTGTCTTATGATTTTTCGTAAATTAACGTTACGTATCTAATAAGCTTTAACAAGTAAGTTGAAAAATGAACTACCAGTCTACCCTCAGTCTTCCTTGGGACACATTCCCTAACAAAAGGAACACAGGTAAAAAAATGAATGAAAATCAACATCCTTAACTATTCAGTATAAATCATGTCTTATTCACACAGCTTATTTTCTAGACTTGGGAAAGCATGCAAAGAAAGTTTTCAAAAGGACAATTAAAATAATTTAAATAACAGCTACAAGTGACATACATTCAGATATTACACACCTTGAATATTTGTCTATTTGTTCTTTCGCTCATTTATTCACTGGTTTCTAAATTTGAGAACAAGGTTTGTAACAACATAGGACCAGGAATAGTTGAAAAAGCCTCTTCCCATGTAACCTGCTTACATGCTTACTATTCCTATGTCTGATTCTGTATCAGTCTTCTGACAGGACAATGGGGTAAGTGATCTTGAAGCACAGGGAATGTGGACATGCAATACTATGTGTTTCCTCCCTTTTTTCCAACTGGCCAATACTGAAGGATTATAAGGTTTTCAGACTTGCAGGGAAATGGCTGGACCAAAGACAGTCTTTGCACCTAATTCAGAATTTCTTTATGCTGTGAGCAAACAGTGGCCAAGACCCATGCCTAAAAAAGCTGGTCTTCTAAGGACAATTGCTATTACCTGGCAGAAGTAAAGTTCACAAGGATAGAGTATAGCATTTGTTGGGTTTTGGATGCTAAATATGAAATTTTCACCTGATCAGGAGGAGGGCAGAATACACATTTATCTAGTCGACCAGGCCTAAGCAGGGCAGGGTCAATCAAGTCAGGGCGACTAGTGGCAGCCAACACGTAAACACCTGGGGGAAAAAGAAAACTTTTCTTTACTAAAATCCGGTAAAATTGTGTTATAACAAAATATTTGTGTGTTTACAATTATTACCCTGTAAGCCTTCCACTCCATCCAACTGAGTCAGCAACTGGTTAACTACTCGGTCTGTCACGCCTGTATTATCATGACCTCTTCGAGGAGCAATGGATTCAAATTCATCAAAGAAAAGAATGCAGGGCTTTGCAGCCTGCGCTCTGGGAAACATAAACAAACACTTCCTAATTGAAAAGGGCTTCAGAGCTTGCACAGTGATTTCAAACACATATATGTATATCAGTCTGGCACACACACACATTTTTAAATCTTCTTCACAACAAACACTTAAAGAAGGTAAGGCATATGTTATTATTCTCGTTTTCAGCAAGCTGGGTCTTTGAGAGAGCGAGGGATTTGCCCTCCCCCATACCTTCTGGATAGAATTAAAAAAAAAACTAAAACTGTTGTCCCCCGAGTTGATTCCGATTCAAAGCAATCCTATAGGACTGAGTAGAAAGAACCGCCCCATAGGGTTTCCAAGGCTGTAATCTTTATGGAAGCAGATCGCCACATCTTTACCCCACAGAATGGCTGATGGGTTCAAACTGCCAACCTTTTGGTTAGCAGCCGAGCGCTTCAACAACTGCACCACCAGGACTCCTTCTGAATAAAACAAACAAACAAAAAAACCCAAATCCATTGCCATCGAGTTGATTCCGACTCATAGCGACCCTACGGAACAGAGGAGAACTGCCCCATAGGGTTTCCAAGGAGTGGCTGGTGGATTCGACCTTTTGGTTAGCAGCCGAGCTCTTAAGCACTGCGCCACCAGGGCTCCAAAAGCAGGCACTAAGCAAAAACCCGAGACTTTTTGACTAATAATCCAGTGTACTTGCACCATCATACCACACTCTTACTGTAAACAATTATAATTAGCACTTCTCCTATAAATTAACACGATTCCTAAGTCTGTGCTATCCTGGTTGTTAAATCATAGTATGTTGGCAATATAAAATTCTTTTTCCAGTTTATACTTTTCCAGTTTTTTTTACTTGTCTGAGATTCCTTTAAATAACCACTTATGATTCCACTTTTGGCATTTCAGGAATAATTTCTATTGCAGCTATAAAATCAAATAATTCCCCAAATTTAATATCTAAAATTTTTTACATTTAAGTAGTATTTGGTGAAACAGAATCTTTGTCCTCTAGATTAATTCACATAAATCACAGGTTTTGAACAACAGCTCTTCAAAAAACAAGATTAAGACCAAAAAGCATTGACTGATCAATAATAATGATGTCATTTACTTTAAAAAAAAAAAAATTCATAGGGAACCAACCTAACAAAAATATCACGAACAGCTTGTTCACTTGCTCCAATATATTTGCTGAGTAACTCTGGCCCCTATTAGGTAAAATAAAATAAAATTAGAATTGAGATAAAATTATTTAAAAACAAACGATAATTTTTGTTTATGGCTAGGTCTAAATTCAGTCACAGAAAATTTTCAATGCGTTTAAATGGACGTATCTTAAATATATTTCTAAAATTGTGATAGAACAAATATTACACACTTTGTTTCCTCTGCCTGGAACATTTGTCTGTAGATACTCTCACAGCTTGTTCCTTGGTTTCATTTAGATCTCTTGCAAAATGCCACCTCCTCAGAAAAGCCTTGCCTTACAACCCCATCTATGATCCACTCTAGTTATCCAACTAGAACATACCTATCATACCTCCTTATCTCACTTTTCTTCCTGCACTGCACTACCTGACATTATACGATATATTTATGTGTTAGTCTGTTCACCGTCTCTCTCCCCTAGTAGAATGTAAGTTCTAAAAGGCAGTTATGTTCACTGCTGAATATTCAGGGCTTAAAACAGTGCCTGCCACACTACAAGTACCCAATAATTATCTGGTTAATGAAGTAATGAATGGTTTAAAAACAGAAAAAGTCCCACTTAACTCAAGCCTTTGAGACTTAAAAAAAAAAAAAAAAAAGTAAAGAGACATAAATTACTTTGATCAGCATCTTCAATTACTGAAACCAATTTATTTCTACAGGAGTTGAAGAATATTTCCTAAACATCAATTGAAAAACTTTCAAAAAAAAAAAAAACCATCACTACATATAGCAAAACAAGTCATGAGAATGGTCTTTCCTTAAACTGGGACAGCATTTATGAAAAAGGATCCTTTTAAAAGCTGAATAGGCCCCAGTGATCTCTAACTCCCAAAGACCAAATATGCTAAGGATATGTAACCAAAATAGAGAATTTCTAATACTCGGCTACCTACCCATCTATTAATGAACTAGCATTTATTTAAACTTCCTCAGTACAGTTTGAGAACTACAGGACAAGAGGGCAGAACAAGGCAACATACTCCTGTCAGTCAAGGGCCTCCAAGAATCCACCCTGACCCACCAAGATGGAATTAGCTCTCTGCTGAAATCCTTCCATTGTAAATTCATCCCAAATCGTGATTTGAAGACTTAAACTAAAACGGTAAGATGTCCTCCCTAATGGGAAAATCTAAATTCACAAGTGTTAACCTTAAATCTTATGTTTAAAAAAAAAGTGAAACTAGATTCTATTGATAAGTGTAAAAAGAAAAGCATGGTCATGGTTACCTAAGGATCCAGAAAAAGGAAGGCAGGAAAACTAAAAAGTATTAGTGCTTCTCCATGATTGCCAGAGCACAAAAAATCATGTGGTAAAAAGAGGGTAGGCATAACCCAACCGCAAATTACCAACCTGGCTTTCAGATTCTAAATCAGTTTTGAAAAAGGCTAGCTATACCATCCCTTTGCCTTGGGATCTAATCACCATTTGGTAAACTAACACCGCTGAGGTGCTGAAACTGTACAACTAACATACTGAACCCCACATCGTGACGACTGACACATCAGGCACTGCCCAAATTACTACACTCACCTTATACCTGACAAAGTTTACACCAGTGTGACAGAAGCAAGGGTGACATGCAGCCAACAAGTAACAGAACTATAAAAACCCCAGCTTCCTGCCTCTAGTTGTCTCGGTTCTTACCCTCTTTATGGTTATACCTTGCTTTTTATCTGAATACTTCTGTATATTTCTACTTTTAGTGCATGAAGATTTGCCTTCAGCAAGAACATAAGCCCTAAAAGAGAGGTGGCTCATCATTCAACTTCCCACACAGCTTTAACTAATAGGCGGAGCACTGCTCCTATCAGCTTTCCAAATATGACACTAACCCACAATCAGGAAAGATAAATGTGCAGCATACCTTGACACTAATAAAATTCATTCCACTCTCTCGTGCAATTATCCCAGCTACTAAGGTTTTTCCTGTTCCAGGAGGACCATACAATAGTACACCTGTTCTCTGTCGTATGGGCAAGTTTGCAAATAATTCTGGGTACTGAAAAATACAAAAATATGATAAAGAATTCAAGTCTAAAACAGAAATGACTAGGCAGCAGCTAAAGATCAATGTATAGAAAAAACAGGCAAATTGTGATAACTGCCACCTTTCCTTATTAACAGCACAATGATAGTAAATAAAATTCCTGCTAAAAATAATAAATAAAGGAGCTGCCATGGATTTTTTCCAATTGCTACTTGACAGGGATATAAAGAAACAAGGATCGTGGAATACAGGCTATATAACATGCACATAACTGTATCAAAATTTCTTTGTTTTTTCTTTTTGAACATTATAGAAGTACTACTTTAAGAAAATAAAAACCAATTTTATAAAGAGTATACTGCCTTCTACTTGTATTGTTTTACTGGGCAAGGTCTAACAGCTATGTATATTCAAATATATTAAAGCAAGAAAATAAAATAATAGAGAAGCATCTATAATGATTATAGACAATAAAATCTCCCAAGAGTCTCCAGGCTGAATAACTGATTGTTTCTAAATTACCTTCTAAATCACCAACGCTCAGAGAGAAAGAAACTTTTTGAAAAAGTGAGTCAAACATCAGGCTACATCAGAAATATCCTGGCCTCCTCTCTCAGGTATCCCTATTTAGTTCTACCCATGGACAAAATTTCAACCTCACCTCCCCCCCGTTCTAGTTTGAAACAGGCCTCAAAGTCAGCAGTTCAGCATATGGTCTCCATGTATCTGGATACTAAGCTTGGTGCCCAGGCCCTGCATTTGGGGTCATGATCCTGCTAACTAGTCTTTCCATGCCCATGTTCTCTCAAACAGCCTTTAACCCACAGTCCTGGGCTGCACTCACCATGGCCCAGGCCCTGGTGGCCACAGTTGCCAGGACTCACCATCCAGTTACATGTAACCCAAGATCCTCATTCACCCATTTCTTTATCTCTCTGCATAGGCCCCTGATCTCATGCAGTGATTCGCACCTCCCAGGTCTCTGATTCAACCACACTATCTCCTAGATGCTACTGTCAGATCTTCTGAAGAACAAACCACATCTGCCACCCTGATTCTGCCATCTGCCTAGTCTACACTGCCTGCTAACTGCCTTTCCAGGGCTAACCCACAAAGTCTCCAAATCTAGTTTAATCCATCAATCCTACACACCTAGCCAACTCTCCCACCTCTCAGTTTATTCTTATCTGTTTATGTTCAAGTCCCAGTTCAAACTGTTCATTTTGCTTTAGTATAATCTGAATGATTCAAGGAAAACAGAATTATTAACTTCACATTAAATTTATTTATTATAAATGTCACCTCAGATTTCCTTATAAGTTTCTTATGGGCAATGACCATATCAAAACTGTCAGAGTACCTAAAATAGTGCTGGATATTTATTTGGTAATTCAAAGCAAATATTTGTTGAATCAAAGTGAGACTGAGCAAGCCAGCAACACGTAAAGAAAGCCAAAGAGTCAGTGATTCTCCTGGGAGTAAATATGTGCTTTTTTTTTTGCAGGGGGGAGCTTCTTTTTTTTTTAAAGCACCTTGGCTGGTAACTGGATAGTATCCATGAGTATCTGCCGAACTTCATGTAATCCACCAATCTTATCCCAGCCCAGGTCTCTAGGTTTATGCAGGCTGACATTTCGCAGAGACGTAGGAGTAAATCCGTGGAGAGCTTTTTGGAAGTTCAATGTTGTTAAAACTAATTCTGTTTAAAAAATAAACAAAATTTATTTTGGTGAATATTGAATATATGAACTTTCAAGATACACCATCACTTTAGCTGGAGATGCAAATTTTTTACTCAAGTAACTGCTTATTCAAATATTAAAACGGAATGTGCTTAATTCTTGCCCTACTACAATTACACTTCTCAAAAATGGAAAAAGGGTCCCCAAGTTTGAATTACGATAGTAAAACATACCTTCCTTGGTGGATATACTCTGAAGAGAGAGACAAGAATGTATGGCTCGATCCACAAGCACTATAAAATCTCTAGCTACAAATCCTTCTGTTTCTTTAGCTATAAGGTACAAGTCAAGATCAGTAAACTTATTCATATCACAGTCCAGTTTATTTTTTATTATATTATGCAGAATTTCACATCTTTGTTCCTAAAGAAAAAACACAAAGTTCAAATTTTAAATTTTATCCATGTATGAATTTTGGAATATACATGTTGAGAAAAATCAGGCTGACATAATCTATAGTGACAGCAAGCAGATTGGTGGTTGTCCAGGGTGGACTAGGGGAGGGATGGACTGCAAAGGGGCACTAGGAAGCTTTTGAAAGTGATGGAAATGTTTGTTACCTTAACTGTGATGGTTTTATGGTATATACATATGTCAAAACTGATCAAATTGTACATTTTAAGTATATGAGTTTATTATAATTCAATTATACCTCAATAAAGTTGCAAAAAATATCAGATTGATAAATGATTGCCATTTCGTTCCCTAATAAGAAGCTTTGTTTGTAAGATATGCGTACATTTAAGATTGTCAGGTTTTTTTTTGCTGTTGTTTCTATAAAACTTATTTCTAAAAACATATTCAATGGTCAATATCACTACCATTCTGCTATGCTTAATAACAGGTATAATACTTTTGTTCTTCAAAAACAGTTAATTAGCACAGGGTCTGAATATTTCGGATAGACTGTAGGTGAGAATTTTAAACAAGAATCTAAAACATGCTTGCCAGTCCTGGACCCACTTCTTTGAGCTCATTGCCACTAAAGTCATCATAAGCATGAGTCCCCAAAGGGGACTACAGGTCACATATGCTAAACTAAAGCCACCAAACCCACTGCTGTTGACTCGATACCAACTCATAGCGACACTGTAGGACACAGTAGAACTGCCCCATAGGGTTTCCAAGGCTGCAGATCTTTATGAAAGCAGACTGCCACATCTTTCTCCCGTGGAGTGGCTGGTAGGTTCAAACCACCGACCTTTTGGTTAGCAGCTGAGCACTTAAAACACTGTCCCACCAGGGCTCCCTTCAAATACGCTAGTGAAAAAGATGTTTAATCAATTTTTACAAAGACATCTTCCTATATTCCTCACTGCTCTTTCTCATTAAGAATACATTTTCAAAAAAGCCATTTCCTTGGGAAGTGCATAGTAATATTTCAGATGGTTATAAATTGTAATTTTGCACCTAGTACAACATGCATTGAATGCTGACTTTTAAATATCCTTAAGATCATTAACATAAACTCAAAGCCATATGCTACAAGTAAAAAATAATGATTTCGATAAAGAGGGGCATATTTCAACAACCTTCATAGATAGTATATTACCTGATTAGGAGGTTGAATATGTTGGAAGCACTGAAATATGTGAATTCCCTGGGCAGACAGAAGTAAAGGATGTAGAGAATGTTGAGACTGGCTTGTGGCAATCAGTGCAACCAAACTTCCCATGGAAATAAATTCTTTTATCATATTCTTCAATGCTAGAATTAAACAATATTTCTTTATTAGTATAATATAAAACTTAGGAAACATAAACCATAACTTTAAATGACATATTAATTTAAAATAATGATAACCTAAAATTGAGTGTTAAGGTGGAATATGTATAGTATGGCTCCTTCATACCTTTTAAAATTTAATTCATGTGTCCAATCACTGATTTATCTATGGATGACCTAATATGGGTCAGGCTCTAATCAATCCAATGGAGGTACACGAGGTACTGTAAACTCAAGTCTGTATACCCAGATCAGGGTCTAGTGAGGTTCCCTACTCCTAGTTCTTAAAAAGTAAGTAGTAAAGAGGGGTCTCTGAAATGAATATAATGGATGGGTGGTAACTTTCCATACTGTGTTCTGTTTGTTAACCAAAATATAGCTCATATTCCTATGACTTCATGAACAATTTCTTTCCACCCCTAAATCTTCCAAGGTTTTGTCAGCCTGAAAGGTCAGAACTGAAACAGGCATTATTAATGTAGATCTATTTTAGACCTAGAAATTTCCAGCACTCCCTTAAGCACTAGGTTAACAAGTCTTGCAGATGCTATGGGAGTCAAAATTTCAGATTAATGTTAGTTTATAATAAACCGAAGGCACCATAGTTGCATTTACTACTTCAGCTCCCAAGAACCATGAGGCAGCTGAATGCTGTCCAGCTCTCCAGCCCCTCTCTCCCCAGTCCTCTCCTCGCACTCTAAGCGCCAGTCAATGGAGTATCCTCCAACATAACCGTGTGTTTTGCACTGTCCTGCCTTTGCCTAGGGACCACACTTCTTCACTTCTTCATTTGGCTACTTTCTACTCCTTTGTCAAAACTTAGGTCAGTTATGAACCCCTCCAGGAAGCCTGACATGGTAGCTATCATTATTATGTACCAAAACTGTTTATTTTCTGTCCTCTCATAGACTTTGAAAGTACAGACTGAACAAAAACATTTAAAAAATATTTGTCAGATGAACAAAAGCAAGAATAAATCTTACTATTAAACAAGCTCTAATAAGAGAATGAAAAGGCCCCAAAAGACTAACCGTGAAGTTGAAGAATTTTTACACTGCTCCTGTATGACCATTTCTGCTGATACACGATAACCGTAGAATGCTACCAGAGGCCTCAAAGACAATACAGAGCACAGTATATATTCTATTCTCCATCAGAGTGTATTTACCATCGAGACTAAAAGTGCTTTCTGACATAAGACACAGGTCACGGGCCAGTAAGTGTAGGCATTACCGTGTGCGAGGCGCTGGCTCTGCACCGCATCAGGGCTGTGCTCATGTTCGGGGAGGGCAGGCAGGCCAACGACGAGATCGAGATCATCCAGCAGAACGACGGATGGCTGTCGCCATGCCGCCTCTGAGAAAGCCACCTCTAAGGATTTTTGTATGTTTTCAAGTCTTTTTCCTAAATCCAGAAGACATGAAATGGTTTCAGTGTCATTTTAGGATTGGGAAAGTTCAGGCTGCCACTTTGAAAGCATCAGAAAAGCTAAATATTGATTTAACTATAAAAACTACACCCATATTTTGCTAATATACCAATCTCTAAAACTTGTTAACCAAAAACAAGCTCAATTAATATAGCCTCAAAGGGCTCGATAAAGTGCTGAGTTTAATATAACTGAAAATGAAATATGCTACTATAACTTCTAAATTCCTCCATAGAGGATTTCAGACGACTTACAACAAAACAGTAAAATAAAAGCAGGATGTGGGAAAATGTACGTGAGAGGAGGGAACAAGATTCAGAGAAAACAGGATACAAAGGTGGCTGCCTGGAGATTCTAGATTTGCTGTATTTGAATCACAAATCTGGCTTCAAGCTTCTTGTTCAGTTACAAGGTTTTCATTTTCAAAGACTAGAAAACATACCAGTTCATATGAGGATGTAAAAATTTTGTTACTTAGCTCTAAATTAAAATTTTCACTCGAGACTTCTTACAGGACTGTAAGAGATGGCCAATGTTTCTAAAACCACTTCTATAGCAAATAAAGTAATGAATTTCCTAAGGCTAATTTTTTAATTTCATATAGTATAGAACTGAGAGTATAGTGACCAGTTGAGACGATATGTAGTGGTAGCTAAGGGAAAAAATTAACTTCTCAAAGTAAAATATTTTCAATCCTTTTTTTCATTGAATAGATAATAACGTAAATGTCAAAGAATTTTAAAAGTACAAAAGTACATTTGGTGAACTGTAAATCTCCTTCCCACTGCTCTGTGCAGCCACCCACTCTCCCTCCCCTGAGGCAAGCAATCTACCGTTTTCCATAGCAGTTCAGAGATATTTTATATCCATTAAATTATACTCTAAATATTAACTTACCCAGAGTAATTTAAGCTGGCACTGCCAGGAACACAGTCTATAAAGACTTTTGGCCAGAAAAATAAATAAGCCTCCATAAAACATGGAGAGGTTTAGAAATGTTATCGAAGACGTTAAATAGCCAAGATTTAACATTTCTCAGGAATTTCAATGATTAAACGATAAACAGAAAAGTAAAGATTAGATGATATTTCTATTTATTAGAGTAACAGCATTAAACAATAACATTTCTTTCTACCAAAAAAGGAGTTATGTAGAGTGTTACCATATTCATACCTCGCAAAGCTTTACAGTCAACTACCTCCACATGTGCATCCAATGTGTCAAATGCTTCTTTACAAATTGCTTTGGCTAAAGTTGATTTTCCACTCCCCTAGAAAACAATTGTTTCATAAGGACTCCCAATACAGTCAATCATAGAGACAGCTTCTGTCATTGTGGCAACCACCAAATTACCATATGACCCAGCAATTCTACTCCCAGGTATACACCCAAAAGATATGAAAGTAAGGACTCAAACAGACACTTGTATACCAATGCTCACAGAATCATTATTCACAATAGCCAAGGTGAAAACAACCAAGTGTCCATCAACAGATGAATGGATAACAAAATGTGGGATATATCCATATAATAGAATATTATTCAGTCATAAAGAAAAATGAAGTTCTGACACATGCTACAATATAGATGAACTTTCAAAATATTATGCTAAGTGAAATCAGCTGGACACAAAAGGACAAATATTGTGTGATCCCACGTATATGAAATGTCTAGAATAGGCAAATGCGTAGAGACAGAAAGTAAATTAGTGGTTACCAGGGACTGGGGGAGGGGGAAATGAGGAGTTACTGCTTAATGGGTACAGGGTTTCTGTTTGGGGTGATGAAAAAGTTTTGGAAATAAATAGTGATGACAGTTGCACAACACTGCGAATATAATTAATACGAATTATACACTTAAAAATGGTTAAAATAGCAAATTTTATGTTATACATATATATATTTTACTACCAGAAAAAATTTTTAACAATTAGTGAATGAATGCTTTTCATCTCTTATACTAACAACCCCATAGAATAGATGATCAAAATCCAAAAAGAAATGAAGTCAAAGCTATCAGTGAAAACGAGCACATTTTAACCACACACCTTTCCTCCTGTGAGTAAAAGGGCTCCATTCCTAAGTCCTGCCACAAGGGACATCAGCTGCCGAGACAAAGGGCATCCCAGGAGGCTATGAATGATGTGCTCCATGGAGGATGTGCCTAAGGAAGTCACTCCTCTGCAAAAGATATAAACTGTTAGCTGATAAAACACTGAAGTAGGATAAAGTCTAGCTACCAAAAATTCTAAAACTTTCCTTCCTTGTCTAGTTAAGGAACTTTAAGAGTAAAATCTTAGATATTCTCCCTTACCTGAGAAAAAGTATACCAGGTAATGTCAAATCTGATTCACAGCGTTTAAAATTTTGTTTTATTACTTTCAAACATGTGCAATAATTAAAGTTTTGCCCTAATAGGAGTCCTTAAGGAATTTTTCTTAAAATGCATACACATACAACTCCCCCCAAAATAATTTCTGGTTTGCTAATTAAAATAATCATAAAGTGTGCTTCTGAAGTACTTAGGATACTTAAAGACTTATTTCCTCTTAAATTAAACATTGCCTTTAAAATCCAGTTTCACTCTGTAGGTTATACAAACTTGAACTTCAGCCTACTTCTTGACTGTGACTGCCACTTTATTTCTGATAAGAAGAATATCATGAATTCCTAATAGAGTCTGAAGTAAAGAGATTTTACTTTATAGTACTGACTACTGTGCTGTATTTAAGCATTTTTACTTTATGGTTTAATCCTTTTACTAAAACACATACAGATTATACTATTGCAGTAAATCAAGTCACTACTACTATATCTGAGAAAAGCCTCTGTGAAGAATTCTAAGGAGTAATTTTTACATGAGATTCTCATATAGTATGACAGATAAAGAAATTAGGAGGTTCTTTTTAGATTTATCTGACTTAAAAGTTGAAGAAAACACAAATAATTCCAACTATTGCATTAATAAGATGGTGAAGGAATAACTTAAAGTATTTGTAAAATTCAACTGATATTTTCAGATTTAACTTTTATTTGCGCTAAGGATTATGAACTGTTTTGTTCAATCACATATGATTCAGGTCACATCTAGTAGCTTTATTCTCACAAACCAATTCTCAAAGTAAAATTTCTAATAAGCTTCAGACTTTTAGTTATTTGAGAAGACAAGATAAATTACTAAGTTAGGTATGAAGACAGAGACAATCCTTGAAAAAGTATCTACTAATGCATTAGTGGGAGGAGTCCTGGGGGTGCAGTGATTAAGCACTAGGCTGCTAACCAAAAGGTTGACGGTTCAAAACCACCAGCCCTACACGGGAGAAAAATGTGGCAGTGGGCTTTTGTAACGATTACAGCCTTGGAAAGCCTATGGGCAGTTCTACTCTGTCCTACACAGTTGCTATGAGTTGGCATCGATGGCAGTGGGATCGGTTTGAATGCATTAGTGAAGGAACCCTGCTGGCGAAAAGGTTAAGCACTCGAACGGTTGCCGAAAGATCGGCGGTTCAATTCCATCCAGAGGCTCTGTGGGAGAAAGACTTGGTGATCTGCTCCCACAAAGATTACAGCCTAGAGAACCCTATCGGCAGTGCTACTCTGTCACATGGGGTCATTATGAGTTGAAAATCAACTCAACGGCATCTAATAACAACAATACATTAATAAGAATATTCATCAACATTAGTATCTACTTTGATATTTATACATAAAGACCCTGCCAGAGATAGTGTCAAAACATGTCTCTAAACATGCTAGTTTGGACAATACTTCTTACCCCAAGGAATTCAGCTTTAAAAAAGGAAGAACAAAGTCAATTTCCTCACTGTTTTCTTCTTTTACAATAGGATCTAGAAGGACCTATAACAGCAAGGAAAGATCAGTTTTACATTTCAAAATTATGTCTTTTGCATTTTTTCTCAAGTGCTAGGAACCTGAATTGTTGATTCAATTAATCCAGGGAGAAAGGATATACTGTGCATGCAAGATCATTACTTAAAACAGCCTTGACAATACTTTACTCATTCGGTAAACATAAATATTTATGATCAAAAAGCAATAAAAAATGTCAGCTCCTTAATGCATTTTACAGATATATCTTTATTTGCAGTTTTGATTTGTGTCAAAATTATTATTTTTCACAATTCTTAAATTTGCATCTTCTCTGAATGGTATTTCTTCAATTTCATTCCAAAAGTATAGAAACAATGCGTAGTTCCAAACCACTGAAATTGTAAACTACTTGAGCATCTTCAATTTTATAATGACATGCGTGAATAGCCAACTAAAATATAATATTCTAAAAAGACCACCTTCTGGAAGAAAAGTGATCTGATAATATTTGTAAAGAGTTAGAATTTAAGAACTATCAAAATAACACGGGTGTGTAGCAAAATTGTAAGCAAAAATATGAATTCTTAAAGTCAACCCCCTAAACCAAGTTTTCCCTTGTTTCAATACTAGAACTATTTTAAATCAACATCTATTTGTCAGTGAACATAATCAACTCTATTCTTGTAACTTAATTGTGCTGAGGCATTGATTTTAAGATAAATCAATAATTGCTACAATTTAGAGATTAGAGAATGAAATATTTTAAATCAATTTAGTCCTTCTCATATCATTCTGGTTTCTATTACACTTCAGGATGCAAGGTCTTATGGGTAAATTCAAACTTTATTATCAATCATATGTGACAAATATTGTCTCATTAAATATTCAATAGTACATAATTACTTGTATTGTGGTTTTCTGCAGCAGACTGGTACTCAACAGAAAAATATTTTTTGCTTTATCATTTTCTTTTTCCCAAGAATGAACTATATTCAGAGAAAACTCCGTCAGCCCTACTGAAAAGAAAGCAATAATGCAGAATTAGTACTAGATGTAAGATGAAATAATTCAGAATTCTAAATATCAGTTTAATTTAAATTTAAATAAAGGCAGCATCAAGTGTATACTTTCTTCAATGTGTAAAATCGACTTTAATTATCATATGTTTCATTGCTCACATACGTCACAATTTGGAAAAATAATTAAAAATATTATCATTATTTCAATAGGAAAAATATCAAAATAACAAATTAACCTACCATCTTTAATTCCCAGCTTAATATTTTCTTCCTCTGATATTACTAACGGAAGTGTGGTGGTAGTAGACTGTTGTAGCCATGAATAGAACACAGTTTTTATGTCTTCTTCACTTACATCTTTAGGCTGTCAGAGAAAAGGAAAGCATGGTAATGAATTATCCTAGTACCTGATCTTAACATTAACATCCTTATTTTAACACCTTATCTTGCTAATAAAATGTAAACTTCATCAAACAAAACTGGGGAAGGATGCTCACACTGTATAGGCAGAGATTTGGGATTTGGCATTACAATGAGTACAGTGTAGCCTGAAGAAACATTTATGGAAGGGGCAAAGTTTTAAATGCTCCTTTTCTCCATATGCAGTGATACACACACCATAATTTGGCTCACTCAATAATTATTCAAGCTCTAGTCTCCCTGCCTACCTTTATTAGAGAAGCTGGAATGCAAAATACTCAATTCTCAGCTTGGAGCTGGGTGCGTGTTTGTGTTTGTGTGTGTGTGTGTGTGTGTGTGTGTGTGTGTGTGTGTTGCATGTGACTCACTCTGGCCAATGGCATGCGGTCACAATCCTGGGGAAGGGCTTCTCTTCCTAATTAAAAGGTAGGAAAATCCTGCAATGAGAAGGCTTTTGCCTGTACTTTTCTTTCACTGCCTGGAATGTAGACATGATGCCTATTAGTACAACAACTATCTTGCATCTAAGAGGAAGAAAGTCATAGGCTAAGGATGGCAGAAGAAAAAGATGAAAGAAACCTAGATCCTTGGTGACATGTTGTAACTACCTGTGAGCTCCTCCAAACTTTTTTGTAAATGAGGAAAAACACCCTTTGTAAGTTTAAGCTGCTGATTTTTTTTTTTTTTTTTGTTACAGCTGACCACAATTCTGATATACTTGGTAAGTAAAATGTTAATAGATTATTCAAAAGGTGTGAAGAATAGTGCAGCTGCTATGAAAAACAGTTTGGTGGTTCTTAAAAAATTTAAACATAGAACTACCATAAAAATAAAAACCAAACCCATTGCCATCGAGTCAATTCCAACTCATAGTGACCCAATAGGACAGAGTAGAACTGTGTCATAGAGTTTCCAAGGAGCACCTGCTGGATTCGAACTGTGGACCTTTTGGTCAGCAACTGTATTTCTTAACCACTACACCACCAGAGTTTCTAGAACTACCGTATGACCCACTAATTCCACTCGTAGGCATATACCCAAAAGACCTGAAAGCAGTGATTCAAACATATACTTGTCCACCAATGTCCACTGTAGCATTATTCACAATAGCCAAAAGGTGGAAACAACCCAATTATCTACAAACAGATGAATGGAAAAACAAAATGTGGTATATACATACAATGGAATATTATTCAGCCATAAAGAGAAATGAAGTTCTGATCAAAGCAACAACACGGATGAACCTTGAAAACATGATGCTGAGTGAAATAAGTCAGGCAAAAGAACAACTACTGTATGAACCCATTTATATGAAATATCTAGAATAAGTAAATTTCATAGAGACCAAAATTTATTAGTGGTTACCAGGGGCAGGTGGGAGGGGGAAATAGGGAGTTACTGCATAAGGGGTACTGAGTTTTTGTTAAAAGTAATGAAAAAAAATTAGAAATGGATACTGGTAGTGGCTGTACAACATGGTGAGTGTAATTAATGTCACTGAATTATATACTTAAAAATAGTTAAAATGACTTATTTTTCATTATATATATTATCACAATAAAAAAAGATAAGAAGAAATTCCGAGTAAAACATTGCTAAGTTTTAAAGCTTTTAAATTAAAATGATTAAGATTGTAAAAACCTATTTGAAATTAAAAATAGGAATAACAAAAATTCAGATAAGAAAGATGATTAATATCTGCCCAGAAAAATAAACCTCTATTCTACCATTTCTCAAATTGGTTCATTTCTATTATCTTTCTTCATCCAGAGTCAAGCTTAGATCAGCCGTTAAGCTCAGTTCAGAAACTGATCACTACCAAAAGCAGGCTAAACTACAAAAACACATCACATTCCCATTCTTAAAATCACAGAAATCATGTTACGTCTTTGGATATTATTGGCAATGGGATTAAAGACCTAAACCAAAAACCAAAAACCAAAAAACCAAATACTTTGCCATCAAGTTGATTCCAACTCACAACAAACATGCAAGACAGAGTAGAACCACCCCGTAGGGTTTCCAAGGCTGTAAGTCTTTTTTTTTTTTTTGTACTTTAGATGAAGGTTTACAGAACAAACAGTTTCTCATTAAATAGTACACATTTTTTTATGACAATGGTGACAACCCCACGACATGTCAATACTGTCCCTTCTTAACCTTAGGTTCCCCACCACTAGCTTTCCTATCCCCTTCTGCCTTCTAGTCCTCGTCCCTGGACTGTTGTGCAAGGCTGTAAATCTTTACAGAAGCAGACTGCCACATCTTTTCCCCACAAAGACCTAAAGAAAGTCATAAAGTGAAAATGAGAATTATTTAAAATGAAAAAATTTTAGATCAGAAAGGAACTCACAGTTCCTCTGGAATCAAACATTCTCATGTCCCAAGTGATACAATCACAGCCCAGAGACCTGCCAAAGGTCATAAAGCCTCCTGCATTTGCTTTCCACTAAAATATGCAATTTAGAATAGGAAAGGAATTGTGTAATAACAACTCATCATTGATACAAAGGAAAAAAAAAATCTAACGATCAGTAGCTAATTGTTTTCTTATGTAACGGGCCTAATCTTTGAAAAAATACCAAGATTAATAACTAAAAAGTTAAAACAAAACTATAAACCACTGTGCACTGTACAGCCAATGCCACAGGTGCTCAGTCACATACTATTATGCCAATGGCACTTACTCTTGTTTTCCTCCTCTCCAGTCACACATATAAGCTTGTTGTTTCAACAACTAAAAAGTTCTGTTACGTTGGGTTTTCCGTGACATAATGACCATCATGATCCTGAGGATCTAAAAGTACCATCTGAATTATCAGCAAAAGATTAAATTATGTTTGGAATTTTTTGAACACGTAATATAGTAATTCTCGTGTATTATAATTCTCTAAGAATTGGTGACTCAAATATGATACACATAATACTCTCTTAAAAATATTTTTTAAGAGCATTCAATACCTCATTTCCTGACCATATCAGCTTCAAAAAAATTAACTGAGAAGAAAATAAAACAGCCCAGTACTCTTTTAGACTGTAATATTAATATTGAAATACAGGGAAAAACAGTTTTTAATTACATGGGTGTGGCAAAAAAAATCAACTTTTTAAAAGCCAAAATTATCCATATTTCCAATGGTACTATATATGTGTATCTCTTACTCAAGATTTCTTTGCCAGTCTAACAAAAAAGAGTACAACATTCTTATAATTTAGCTAAAGCAATTTTAGAAATTTTACAGCACATGTAAAAGAATTTCAGTATAACAAACTTGTACTCACTAAGTTCTCTCAAGCAATTTTAGAAATTTTACAGCACATGTAAAAGAATTTTAGTATAACAAACTTGTACTCACTAAGTTCTCTCTAGGTTGTAATTTTAGAGATCTTGGAATTTTGGGGGTAATTTCCACTGAAGTTATTCTGACGACTGCATGCATTTCTATATTGAGTCTCTTTCTGAGATCATCCGGAATCTGAAATTTAAAAATAAATTACATTCAAATTAAATATAAATTTGCAATCTTTGGACAATTTTCATCAGTGAAAGTTGAGAACCAATGAAAAAGTTGGAGTGATCAAAGCTAATCACAATCTGCCATGGACCCCATTAAATCCAGACAGAAACTTAATCTAAAAGGCAAAGGGTAAATTTCTAATCCCCATTGATGAAAATGTTCTAAACTTAGATTGTGGGGGTGTTATACAACTCTGTGAATATACAAAAAACTACAGAGTTATACAATTTAAATTATATCTAAATAAAGATGTTAAAAAAATTCTCATCTCCCAATACTGGTAAGCACTGAAAGATATGAAGAAGACTTTAATCTCTCTCTACTATTTCTATTGATTTCTAAGACCATGTACAAGCATATTAATGGTAGACAAAGCATAAAATAAAAACCCTAAGGTGCATATCCTGACCTAAGACCAAGTAATTTATCAACCAAGCTTCTGGTTTAAAAAACAAAAATCACCTTACTCCACAGGGTAATAAAGGCTCAAATCAACATTAATTTATTAGGTTAGGTATTTCCAAGTGATCAGTTTTAATCTATCAAGTCAAGCCTGTTTGAGGACATGATGGCAATCACTGTCATTCGTCATTGCCTGTGGCTCCTGCACCTTTAAAGTAGAGTGGGAAATGCAGACTCCTCACTGCTATCTTACTTGGTCCCCAGGACCTTACCATCAGCATTTCTTCACCCCGTCCTCACCATTCAATTTCAAGAAAACACAAGGGTATTCCTGCCTAATGGCAAAACTATTAACAGAAACAGATAAATCATGACAAGTTCAGCGTAGACATTTTGAATTTAGGGTGCAGAGGAATCTCCTAAGCGTCTAACAGTTTGGAACTAGTAGAAAATAACAAGGCAATGGTCTGGGGTAGGCCAAAGAGATTAAACCTTTGTAAACTACCTGTATAAAGCTCAGAGGTAAAATCGTCGGAATAGAAGATCTACAAAGGAAACTCCCTTTCCTTCCAATTTTTTTCCTTTTCCTAACAGTTTCCT